AACAGAATTAGAAAGTATCAACAATTAGATATTAACAGTTAATTGTTGTATTAACCAAATGCAATCAAAATGATATTAATCGTGATTGAAAAATTTTCATTGATTAATTTCATCACAATTAATCAGTTTCATTAAATTGCTCATTTCATTTTCAATGATTTAAATGATTCACTTCACTTTTATAGTTGTTAATTGTTGAATTGTTAATTGTTGCCTGCTAATTAAATTGGTGGTAAAATTTATCATTTATTATAAATGGGTTTGATTTGTCAAAAGTTATCAATAAACTTAATTGAAACAATCAATTAATTTTAATCTAATCTGATTAACCTATCCGATTGATTTATATATAATGATAAATGATTAGTTAATTACAATTTACATTCAATTGATTAGTTAGATTGATCATTTGATCATTGATTGTTAATTGATATTAAAATAAAAATGATTCAATTTTATTAAATTGATTAGTTGGTAAAAATAAAATCAATTGAACAAAAAAAAAGAAGATTAAAGAAAATTAGTTAATCAGAAATACTTTTTAACAATTAACGGTTTAATTTTTTTTTAGAGATTGATTAGTTAATTGTGATGGTGATTATTAAATCTTGTTAATTATGATTAACATTGACATTGAATATAATGTTTAGAAAGTTAATCAAAAGAGAATTGGTAATTGTTAAATGATTAATCGAATTGGATTAAGACGAGGAAGAGGAAGTAACGATTTCCAAAGTAATTAAATAAACATGATTAAGTTAATCTTTGATTAAGAATTGAAAAAATAAGAGTTGATTAACTGTGATGATTAAATTTTATTATGATGATGGTCACATAATTGTTTTGAATGTCACGATGACACTTTCATTAGGAAATTGTTGCCTTGTTATATCATGAAATTGAAAGTAACTTGAAAATTAACCATGATCTAAATTGTCAATTTCCACTTGAATGGTTAATTTAATTGTCACCAAAAAGATTCAACATTTAGTTGAGAAAAAAAAATTAAATTTCGAAAAATTAGTTGATAAGTTCACCAAAAGGTATCGCTAGTAAATCGCTCGATGAATAGTCAATGAGCTATTTTCACCGATTTTAATTGTGATCATTTTGATTCACTAATTAGATTAGACGAGAGAATTTTTCAATCGTGATGAACAATTTACACTTTATCAGTTGATCTAATATTTGAGAATTTTAATTAGTTGGTCAATCGTGATTTAAGATTAACTTTGTTTTCTCAACTTGAACTTGAAATTGTTACGATTTAATTTGGTTAACCAATCAATTGGAATCACAATTGAAAACCAAAATCAAATGGAAACTTGAAAACTTTCATTGACCAAGAAGCAAATTAATCCGATCAAGATAAGATAATTAAAATTAAATTACTACCAACTAACTAAATCTAATTGGTAACCAATAAGATTAATTGTGATTAAGGTAATTAAAAGAAATATCAAAATAATTGAAAAGCAATTAAATGGCAATGATCAACTAATTGTGTGAGTGTAAATAATATAAATCCAATGATTCTGTAGGTTTAAATTAACCTTCATTGATTGATCAATTAATTGTTCCGAGACAGTTGATCAACAACAACAAAAAAATGAAGATCTAATTATTTACACTGAACAATTAAAATCTTATTGTTAATCTTAAATTAGATGGAAATTGCTTAATCAACTTTCTCATTGGTTAATCGTTTAATTTTGTTAACCTTTTCCACCGATTGATTAACCAATTGAAGGTGAATCAAATCAAAAGAATCAAATTTAATTGTGATTGGTTGAAAGGGTCATTGAGATGATGGACAAAAGTTAAGTGTCAATGTATTTAAAGTCTCATTTTGTGTGACAATTTAATCCAGTTAATTTAAATTGTCTTCTCATATCGAACATTTTAATTGTCTTTGGTCCTTCTTAATCAGTTTTAAATTTTAAATCTTTTGATTGTTTCCAATTGTTTTTAATTGTTCATCATTATAGATCATCATGTCTTCACCAGCACAAAGTCCCACAGAAAATGAACCTGTCGGTATGCAATCAAGTACCAGAGATCGATCGGCCTCCGTCGACGTGGCCCCGGGGGGTTTACCGAGAGATCATCGATCGTCATCCCTTGTTAACCCAAGTGTCCAAGTTGAACAATCACCGGCGATGTTACCACCTCAACCATTGGCTCTACGAAATATATTGAAAGGTTTCTCCCAGGATTCAGGTCGTGAAACTCAAGGTCCATCTCGAGAGGAAAGTATCGACAAAGAGCCTTCTTCGTCCGATGTTTCCTCTCCTAAATCTGAATCTCCGACCGAATCTCCAACCGAAGGTCAAGACGATAGTACCAGTAGCTCGGAAAAAAGTACTCAAAATTCCAGTAACGAAACGACTGTACCAAGTGTCTCCATCCCCTTTAGCAGTGACGACAGTAGTACCGGACCGAAAGATGACTTCTCTGACGATTCGGCAACAGTTCGTTATACTACCCCACATCCGATTGCCAAATGTCAAATAGTTAAACCTGATCGATTGGCACAAATCACGGACCAACCAGGATTTACACCCGACACGACAACAATGGGTTCATTAGTGAATCCGGTAAGTGCAGTGGGCACAATGACTAATGTTCCAGACGTAACGATAGACCCAACGATCACATCTGCTGAACAGCGAACACTAGGAGATACCGACTCTGTACCTACTCGAGCTGTTAAAGCGCAATTACCCCCACCGTCCAAGCCAAAGATCAGCGAATGGTTCGAGGCAATGTTCACAATTGGTAAATACGGAGGATTTCTTGCCGCGATTGTACAATTTATCACGATTTTCTTTGGACTTTGGCTCGATACGAGTTTCAAGAGATCTGACACTTATATGTGCACTTTATTTCTTGTTAGCGTTGGTGTTCTTGTTTGTGTCATTTGCGGTACTTTCGAGGAAAAGGGCCAAATTGAATGGTGTTCGGTTGCTTTTATTTTGGACGCACCTTTACATATCATTTTTTTCGTCGAGCATCAAACGCCCGCTGTTTGGTGGGCATACCCTGGAGTTGTTTGTGCCATCTGTTTATCGTTACGCGTATCAACAGGTATACTTTGTAAACCTGAAGATTATTACATGAAAGTTTTGAATTATCATTGGCAACAGCGACATCATGAAATTGTCAAACCCACGTTTAGGAATAGAGCCACAAGCACTGGTAATTTAGAAGCCGCTGAAGCGGGAAGTAGCATGGGTGCTAGTAGTTTACCTTTGGGCGAAGCTCGAACTATAAGTCGAGGTCCAAGTCGAGGTGATGGTCGACCAGACAGTCGAGCTGATAGTCAAGCAACAAGTCGAAATGTAAGTAGAATGGACAGTCGAGTTGCAAGTCGAGGTCCAAGTGAGGCCATTATTCACGAAGCAAGTACAAGTAATAGTAGTAGCAGTGAAAACGAAGCCGTGATCGAAGCTGAAGCTGAAGTTGAACCACTACGAAAAGGAGACGAAGACAATTAACCACCAAAGCAAACGAACCCAACGATTTACAATTTGATAACTTTTTTTTTTTAGTTTTCTACCTTAATTGTATATTAAATTTCTCAGGACCAATTTAATTTATTCTCATTGATTGTATCATCCCAATTAACTAAATTTTTTTTCCATCTACAAACAATCAAAATTATTAATGAAATCAAACCAATAAAACAAAAAAGATTTTCCTTTGCAATTGACTAAATTGTTTGCCTTTTAATTGATTAAAATCCTTCATTTGGGATATACACAATTAACTCTTAAGGATTAATTGTAACATAAATATAAAGGATTGGGCCAATTAACTCCTACAATTGATCCCAATGAATGTCTCCCAATTAACAAAGAGACTTAAACAATTAGGATGCTAATAAATTAATCACAATGATACCGATACAATCAAAAGACATGATCACAATTAACTAACATCATCAACTTGCCATTTGATATTCAGTGTTAATCCTAATAAAGAGATACTGTTTTGTTTAATTGTTTTCCCTGACCAATATTACATTCAACTTAATTAGTGTTGATCAGTTGATTATTACAATGGATGAACCACAATTAATACCACCATCAAGTGGACCTTTCAACCTTAATAGACCCAAAGGATTGGATTTAATTAGACACAAAGTGGAAAGCGTTGTCTCCAGTCGAGAGCAATTAAAAACCATAACTTCCACCCTAATTGTTGGAAATTTATCAATTGCAATTGTTGATTATCTTTCCAATCCCAAAGTCACTGGTCTATTTGCTTTTCTCTGTTTCATCCTTGTCTTGACCATTTACAGTTATGGTGTTTGGTCAGTCGCAACTGAAAGTTATCCAAATCTAATCTTATTTGCTGGACTGTTAATGCTAATCCGATTTGCTAATCTTTTCTCATTAATGACAACAGATAATATCCTCATTAGCCTTGGTATAATTACTTTCATCATTTTAAATGAATTATTTGTTGTCCAAGGGAAATCATTTCCTTCCGGTCAGCTTCAATTACCAAAGTTCTGGTCATCAACTGCTGATCATCAACAACAACAATCAACCTCATCTTCAGCCGTTGATCAACAACAAAATTATCCCTCATTTACCACAGTAAATATTAACTAAATCAACAGTTAATCAAGTAAATTAACTTGCGATCATTAATCAAATTGTGTCACCTTTTGTTTGCTAATCATGATCAACCTTTGAACAAAATATTAACCATTTTATCAATTGTTTTTGGGAAATCACTTGCATTTGATTGTGATTAGTTAAATAACTTTTTTCATTTAATTGTTGTTAAGTTAACCTGTTAATTAAATCAACCAATTGGTAAATAGTGATTAATGTAATCATACAACATTCAATTGTGATTAAATTTGATTGTTTTTTTTTTCATCATCTCAACAATAATTTCAAACCAATCAATGTTAATCTAATTGTTTATCCTCATCTTTTTGTTTCACAATCAAATTAAAATTATATAATGATAAATTGAGATTGAAATTGTTTTGATTTCATAAGGTAATTTAATTTATTTATCAGATTTTAATTGTTCACAATTAACATGGTTATTTATGCAATTTTAATATCGGCTTGAGCACAATTAAGCTCAGTAACACCGTCGTTATCATATAATATGAATCGGATTTGAGTTTTCATCTAATGATAATAGAGGAAAAGCAAATTAATCAATTTGAATTTTAATTGTTTGGTTAATTAACTTACCGGTGGAAGCCAATCAAGAGTGGTCAAGACAATTTTGAATGCAGTGGCCTTTTCAGCGGTCAAGGGACAGGTAAGATATTTACAACCGTCAGAATCCAGGTCAGGATAAGTTGTCCAGAAGCCTAAAACATTGACCTGAACCTCGAGCTTAGGAGCGGTTGAAGTTGATACTTGGGAGAGTAATTAAATCATTAATTAACTCATCTGATTGTTGGTAACAATTAAAATCTTACCAGAAACTAATTCCCCTTGAACGGTAACGTCCATTGCTGGTTGAAAGGTACATGGCTCAGATTCACAAGGATCAACGGTAACCCAATTAATTTTTCCAGTATCAACTGAAATACAAACACAATTAGTTAATTGTTAACATGATCAGCTTGTTGTGTGTGTATTTTTTAATTGTTTATTAACTTACCACAATTTGTAAAGGTAATATTTTTACCTGTAGCTTCAACTGTAGCTACAATTAAGATCAAGGTAACAAGTGATCGGATCATTTTCAGTTGATTGTTATGGTTAATTAACTGGATCAAAATTTGGAAACACTGTTGTAATTAACTTAGCGACTAATAGTTGATTGGATTACTATGAGTTTTTATATAATCATCTGCAGTTTAATTGTTATCATATTATCACAATTATCATTGTGATTAGTTAATTAATTATGTTATCGTCTATGTTATAACAATCAGGAAAAGGATGAAGGTATTTTAATTGTATTAACATTCAATTTGATTACTTAATTTAATCATTTTGAATTAAAGTCCAAATATTTAATCAATAAGCTGATTAGTTGACAATCAAATGAGAAACTTTTTATTCAAAATTAATAACAAACTAATTAAATTGTTAACTATCAATAATATAATATTAATAGTATCAATAATTATTTCAACTGTACCAATAATCAGATAAACTAATTAGTCTCACAATTAATTGATTAAGATCTGATTCTGATTAGCTTTAATTGGTTATCTTAACAGTGGTGAAAATTAGTTACATTGAATTTACTAATCATTTGATAAATTGTTAAATCAAAAGACCAAATTAATTGTGACTGATGCTAATTACGATTAACTAATTATGATTAAATTAAAAAGCAATTTCTAAACAATAAGTTCCCATGAATAGTAATCAAGTTAATGACATTTCAAAATTGTCTCATCAGTTTTAATGGATATCCAAAAAATCAATAAATTGTCCATTAATTTGGTTGTAAACAATTAACAATCTCCAAGCAATTAGATTAGTTTGTCTTCAATACTGAATAACAATCGGTTAGGAATCAATAAATGAAATTGAAAACAATTAAATCTCCCAATTAATTGGTCAACCGATATGCTAATTATTTGCCAGTTGATAGTTACAGCAATTTGTTGATTCATTCAACAATCAAGCAACATGATTAACAATTACACCAACAGTTACCTTGGAAACAAAAACAATAACAAAACAAAAGTATCAATGATAAGGTGTGCTTCTGATTTAATCACAACTGATCAACAATTAAATTGTTCTAAAACTAAATCATCATGACTGATTGGGATTTAATTGTTAAAGTTAATCTTGATGATTTAGATGATGAAAAAGCTGAACTACTTTATGATCAACTGATTGAGGTAAGTGTTGACTTTTCCAGGTTGGAAAAAAAATATTAATCAACTTTGTCCACCCAAAAATCAATGTGATATTTAGCTAACAATTAACTTTAATTGTTTGACAGGTTAATCCATCAGATGAATCAAATATTGATCTACTTCGAAGTGCATTTAAAGCCGCTAAATGTGTAATGCAAGTGAAGGCGCTACAAGCGGATGTGGCCGTTGAAGAGCTCGAGGAATATATTAAAAAGAATGACAAAAATGAATTGGAAAATCTTAGAAAACAAGTTGATTTGTATAAATCATCATTAGTTAATCAACATGGATTAGACCCAATGAGCCAGATTAAAGATTATCAGAATCAATTAGCTGATCTAAAGGAAACACTAGAAGGGAAAAACAATGACCTGTCCCGATCTAAGCGTCGAATAGGTAAATTGGCCTTTTGTTGTTAAGAAATTTTCTTCTAATTGTTGCAATTTGATTTAATCATCAGGGGATTTGGAGACTAAATTACAATTAAATGAGAAGGAAATTGAATCACTTCAAGATGAGATTATATCTCTTAAGGAAGAGATGGAAACTCGTCAACATGGTCTTCGAGATTCTATCGCTGAAACTGCTGAACCTTTGGAAAAACTTCGAGAAAAAAATAAACAAATTCAAAGTTTACTCGATGAATTGGACCTAATGGAACGTGCTAACGTTGAACTGGCCCGTCAAGTGAAAACACTGAAAGATCAACTGTCCCTTGCCACGAATGAGGTCAAATCAGCGGCCGATGAAATGGAAACCATGAGAAATCAATGTTTGGGTATACAAGAGATGAATGAAAATCTAATCAAAGAAAAAGAATATTTTTTAAAAGAAAATGATTCTTATCGTAAACAATTGGATTCCATTCATGAGAAACATGATAATACAACAAGTAAATTAAATGATAAGATGAATGAGTTGATTGAGATGATTAAGGAAAAAGACACTTTGATTGGTCAACTAAATGGTTCGAGATCAAATCAACCTGGACCACCATCACTAAGCTCAATTAACGAGAAATCCAATTCACTTTTACTTCAAGAATTAACTGAAAAGAGTGAAACAATTAACTATCTAAAGGAACAATTAACTGAAGCAGTGAATACAATTCAGGGACAGAATGAGTTGATTAAAAAGTTGACCAAACAAAGTAAAAGTCCAACAAATGACCAGTCCGAAATTGATGGAAATGTTGAACAATCAAAGAAAAGGTGAATTAACAAATTGTTACTGATAATTGTTATTGATCAATATGATTTATCTCTAATTTCTAATTTCTAATTCCTAATTGTTTAGGTTGAACAAATGAAGGTTAAAATTGACCAACTTGAAGATGAATTGAAAGCTAAAGATGATGAACTTCATCAAGTGACCAAGATGAAAATGGCCTATGAACGGGGTGAATATGGACTGGCCGAAGCGCTGAATGAGGTTAAAGCGTTAAAGAAACAATTATTAACCAAGGAGCGACATTTAGAGGAAGCGATTCAAGATCTTAATCAGTTGAGTATTAAATTAAATTCTTATGAGGATCAACTTGATTTTCTTAAGGAAATGGGCAGTGGGTCAACTCTTAATGGTTTAGATTCACTGGACACTGAGAAAATATTACCAGAGATTATGGATGATCGTATAAAAGTATTACGACTCCAGCAAACGATAATTAAATTGGAAGATGAGAAAATTGCTCTTCAAGAGAAATTGAGAGCAATTAGATTATCATCAGGATCACAATCAGTTGAAAGGATTGATAATCAAAGTGAAACCAAACAATTAGATGATGAAAGAGCCAAAATGGTTTCGCATTTGAAAGTTTTACAAGATGAAAATCGAGGATTACAATTGGGAATGAAGGAAATACTATTCGGTATTCATGAGTCCAATTCTCGGTCTGATGTGGTCATTGATTGTCCGAGTTTGGAGAGACTGGTCAATCTGTTGGAGGGTCGATCGCTATCAGCTGATTTAACTACAGTTATTGCACTTAAAGGTGAACTTGATTTGGTTCGTGGACAAAATCAACAATTAGTTATGGAATTGAAAAGACTTCGTCATGAGCATTTCAAGTTGATCTGTGTTTATGCCGATGAAATTTCAGCTCAAATGAAATTAAATCATAACCATAAAGATTCAAGGAAAACTAAATCAACAATTAATTGTGAAAATGTTGATGATGAAGAGACAACATCAAGTTCAACAATTATATCAACAACTTCATCTACAACGACATCAACGTCAACAATTGTTGAGAATGAAAATATTAAACCAACTAGACAATCAGTTGATTCTAATTATGAATTAAGTGAAGGTGAAGTGTTGTTTTCATCTGAATTAGATAAAAATCCATTGAATTTACAATCAGTTAATGAAAATTTAAATTGCCAAGATGAAATTGATGAAGATGAAAATACAATCGAGGCTGAAGATGAGGACGTAGAGACAACGGTTGATTGTGATCTAGATGAGACACCGGCAATTGTTGAGGACAATTTAACACTCGAATCACCAATGGTGGTTAATGAACATGATCAATTTGAGCCAAAAGAATTGGTTAAATTGGATAAAGCAAATCAAACAAATGAATTGGTTAAAACAACGATCAGCATTCAAACCGATGAAATTATCGAGTCAATCGTTTCAACGAAATGTTCAAAATGTGCCAAACTGTTGACTGTTGTGATGGACATTAAAGATCACATCGAAAAGCTAAGTGACTCAATCACTGAATCGGAAACTCATTACTTTGAACAAATTGAATTAACTCGAAAGGAAAACAATTTACTACATGAACATATTCAATCATGGAAGGAGAAATATAGTAAACTATTAACGGAGAAAGATGAATTTCTATTGAATAAATCGGAGAATGGACTCAAATCGAGGCTCGAAAGTGAAAACAGTTCACAACCAGTGGAAGTCGATGAGATGGACGACCAACAATCGCAGCAACAATTAAAAACATCGACAACCAACAAGGCGATTCCCAAAGTGCTCGAAACGATAATTGAATGTCTACAAAAACGCATCGAGCAAAAAGAAACAGCGATTCTCGAACTCGAAGCCTTAATTAGATCGAATCATGAAAATTATGAAAGAGAAATCGGTAAATTAATCAATGAGAAACCTTTGATTAGTGAGACAATTAGTTTTGATCCAATTAGTTTGAATAGGATGGTTCAGGCTGATGAATTACGAACTGATTTAGATAAATGCTACAAACAATTAGAGGAATGTAAACAAGAGGCTTATCATCGTATTCAATGTTTACTTGAACAATTAGAGAAAGAGAAAATTAAATCAAAAAAATTACAAGAACAATTAGATAGATTCACTGGAAGAATTAAAATTAAATCGTCAACAATTAAGGCGAAAAATACGATCAACAATAATCGTCATTAATTTCAACGAAAAAGCGACGATCTTTTTCCCCTTGATTTCTCAACAATTCACCTTAATTGTAATTAGTTAATTGTAACAATTTCTAAGATAATTTGACAATATGATTTGATTTTCAATCGATGGAAAAATAAAAGTTACAAATGTTGTTTACCATTTGTATTGATTGTAATTGTTTTTCATCTTATAATCGGTTTAATTACAATTTGATTGATATCGATTCCCATTTTGTTGGCATGTTTTAAGAGATAATTAATTGATTGTTGGTGTTGATAATTTGATTTGGTGGGAGACTGATTAATTTTGATATTTCTTACATAGATTTATACATTGTGAGTTTAAAAATATAAACCAACATTTGAGATTAAATTTGTTTCCATTTACATAATTAGTTGGTGTATATTATAAAAGTTAATAAGCTAATTGTTGGCGATAAAGGAAATGCAATTAGATGATGGGTTGATTGTTTGATCCGGTGCATCTCATCAGATTGATAATTGCAAATGTGATCATTTGATGGTTAATTGCGATGATGTTTAATTGATGGAATGTAATTGTAATTGTATAGAAACAGAAACGACCATTTTCATCCACTTTGATGTAAACATTAATTTTTTACCTAAAATGTGAATAAATTGAAAAATAAAGGAATTAGATTTGGTAATTAGACAAATCAGTAAATAGTTACTCACCGAAAAGTAAATTATGATGATTATAATTATCACAATCGCAGCGATTATAAGGTTTAATCTCATGTTCTGCCATCTCATTTTACGCCCAAGTCGACGGGAAGATACTCGAAAATCTTCCGATTTTGACGATAAAAGTGCTAAAAGAGAAGATATAATTTCGATGATTAGTTAAATTCCATTTCTATTTTTAATAAATAATTGAAATTCTTTCTCTCTCACCTGATCTGTCCTCCAAATGATCCAATTTCTGTCCACGGTCCAGTATCTTAGAGATGTTTTCTTGCATTATACTGGCCACTTGTTTGACCTGTTGTTGAACTTGTGAAACCTTTTGCTGAGAACCAGATGATGTACTAGGCTCACCGAAAGGTTGTAACCTAATAAGATTAGATTGAAAAGAAAAGAACAATTAGAAAATAACTCAAAACTGTCACATCAATTAAAGTAAAAAGACACAATTAAGCTTAAATGTAAAGACTGTTGCTAACCAAGGACAAACAGTTGATTCTTTAAGAAAAATTGTATAGAAAATCATCTTACCTTTCTGGTGAAGTTGGTGTATCAACCTGAACAAAATCGTTACCATAGAGAAGGTAGGAAACAGATCAAGGTCATAAGAATGATAATTAAACAAAATTTACGTAAATAATTAAAGAAAAAAATTTTAAAATTAAAAAGAAAATAAAAATTGGAAAATAATAACAAATGTCTTCTCATTTTACTTACATCGATTGCTTGGTAATCTGATTTATTATTAGATGACATGATTATAACGTTCAGTTAATACTAGAATCAAATGATGGCTCAGTACTAGAATTAAATATTTAAATCACTAGATGACGAAACAATTAACCTCAGACAATTAAAAAGATCCAAAGAAATGATTGAACAAAATCTCAATCTTATTGAAAGGAACAGCTGTTGATAGAAATTCTGTCAACAGATGGCGTTCATGTAGAGTTTTCGATTAATTTAATTAGTTTTCAATCAAAATTCCGATAATTAAACACTGATTTAATTGTTTATCATTTGCACATGAGAATAAGATAGTTACAGGTTTGATTTGCTTGTTAGATAAAAAAATATTTCGATTGATTGGAAAGGTAACAATTTTTAAATAGTGAAAATAACGATGATAAATTACCTCAACACCAAGATGGATAAAAATTTGATGATGTTAAGATTTAATTGTTACAATGAGAGTTGTAAGAATAAAAAACTTAGTCAAATAACATATCGTTGATTAGTTAATTGTGGTGTTGATAATATCTTGGAGTTAATAGCAGGTTGAAACGGAAACAGAATCAATTGTCAGTTGTCAATGATGAAAAGGTGTCAATATGATTCAATGCTTAACCTGAATAGAGAAAGAAAAATGATAATAAAAGGGGATTGTTATTAGTTAATTTAGTAATCAAAATTGATTCCATTTGATACTAACAGCAAAGTAAATTATTATGATGAGAGCGATAATAATTAAAACTACAATTATGGTTATCCTCATGTTCTGCCATCTCATTTTTCGTCCAAGTCGCCGACCAGAAACCCGAAAATCTTCCGATTTAGATGATAAAATTGCTAATAAACAAAAAGATAGAGATAAGTGAATAGAATGAATTTTGATACGTTAATTGCATTGAGAAAAGATTAATTAATTACCTGATCTGTCCTCTAAATTGTCCAGTTTCTGTCCACGGTCAAGTATCTTGGTGATATTTTCTTGCATAATGTCAGTCACCTGTTGAACTTGTTGTTGAACTTGAACAACCTTTTGCTGAGAACCAGATGATGTACTAGGCTCTCCAAATGGCACATTTCTAATTAAAGGGGACAAACACACAAACAATTAATTAGAATGGAATAGAAAAATTAACCAAATCAAATTAAATCATATAGATTATATTCCAACTTCAGGCCTAACATCAAACTGACCCTTTGAAGGAAATTTATCTCACCTTTCTGATGAATTTGATGGTTCAACCTAATCAAATCAATTGCCAATCATAAAATGGAATCCAAACCCAAAAAAAAAGAAACAACAATTAATAAATTAATCAAAGATAATCAATAAAAATGAAAGGAACAAAAGAGAAAAGAAAAAAAGAAAATTAAAAAACAAGAAAAATTGACTTACATCTATAACTTGATGATCCATTTTCTTAGATTTATCCGCCATTTTCTCTACAATTAGTTAATTGTCCAGATGAAAGAGAATAGAAGAAACAATTTAATTAAAATAAATAATTTAGAATAAGAAATTAACTAATTGTTAACATGTAGAAACACAAAGTTACATTTACGCCTCTTGATTAAAGAGACAATGAATCAGCTGATCACAGCTGATGATGGAAATTGAATTAACATTAATTACTTATCAGAAAGATTAAAACAAACATTAATCATCACAGTGATGATGTAAACGGTTAATTAACAATAGAAGATAAAAACAAATTAAACAATTTAATTATCTTTCAAGTTGATTGACATCAATCAATTTGGTTTTCTATCAATTTAATCACTTGAAATGATCAATAGAACTCAATGATTAATAGATTAGTTGATTAGTCGATTAGCTTGATAATTAAAAAAAATGGAAAATTTGAATAGAACTTTTATAAAATTGTAAGAGAAATTAAAAATTAGTTCGATTATTATTTTGTTCGATTTTTTCGAACTTTTGAATTTGCCGCCTAAATGGAAAAAGAGCCAATCAGAGATGAAATTGTTTCGAACTGAGAATTTTTTTTTCTCAATGAAATTTGATTAATTTATTGGAGAGGAAAAAATAGTTGACAGAAAATTCTGTGAATTAATTTCTTCGTTAATTTTGATTCTCAAATGACTCAGGCATCTAACGAAGGTAAGAGGTTTAGGTCAATCGATCTAATTGACCAGTGACAAGAATTACAATTCGCTGTTTTTGTTTTACATTTTCTCTTCTTTGTGTTTACATTTGTTTTTTTTTGTTCTATTCTCTTTTAGCTTATGAACTTGTCTTGGAAAGTCTGAGAAATCTGGTGACTAGTGAATCAAGTAGATCGGTGTTAACTCAGGATAAGAGTGAGATCAAAAGTGTGGTCACTATTTTGGATGGTCAGAAGATTCGACCCTTGGCCTCCATTTGTTCAGATTTTCTTGAGAATAAAAAAAATGACCACAAATGGACACCAATGTTTCTTGATGGTTTTCAGATGTCTATTGATGTTCGAGATTCCCTGACTAAGGAATGGATTGATGAAGCACAGAGCTTATGTAAAATATTGAATAATGAACATTTACAAGCTCTTCTTTGGACTCATGATATTGTCGCCAATAAACAATTTGAACCAAGTTTACCTGAAGAAGAGTATGAAGATTCATCTATGGAATTTTATCCCAATTATGATGACGAAATGGCTTCAGTTAAGATTGTCCAAGTGATTAAAAATCAAGAACCATTGGGAGCTACAGTTACGTTTGAAGATCAAACTGGTAACATTGTCATTTCTCGTGTTATCTATGGAGGTGCCGCTCATCGAAGTGGCCTAATCAACGTAGGCGATTGTATTCTCGAGGTAAATGGTTACTCTTTAAAAGGACGTTCTTTCATGGAAATACTTACCATGTTAGAGCATGAATGTCGAAACTCTATCATCTCATTTAAACTTCTTCCTGGTGATTATGGTTCCTCTGGTCGGATTAAGAGTGAATTAACCATCCGAGTTAAAGCCTTATTTGATTATTTTCCCTCCCAAGACCCTAACCATCCGTGTCCCGAAGCTGGACTATCTTTCAAGAAAGGTGATATTCTTCATATTGTTAACATGGATGAAGACGATTGGTGGCAAGCTCGTCGTGAAGATGATTCTCTTGACATTTTCTACTATTCGGTCATCCATGCAGGTCTAATCCCGTCTAAATCACTTCAAGAGAAACGGATAGTTGCCTCAAGAGATATTCGTGATCTTCGAGAGTTTGGACGTTTAAAAAAACTTAAACTAAACCATCCACTTCGCTATAAAATAAGACGAAGTTTAAATAAATATCGAAAAGTGAAAAAAATGATGTACCGAGTTAAAGATGCCGATGAACTTGGAAGAGAAGACATTTCCACTTACCTTGAAGTTTCTCTTCTAAAATCTTCAACCACACATTCAACTTATCGACCATTAGTTTTCATTGCCCCTTATCCTTTGGACACCAATCGTCTTTTGGATACACTTATTGACCATGATTCTAAACTTTTCACTCGACCAGTTCCTCACACAACCCGTTCACCCGCTGAATGGGAACGTGATGGTTTTGATTATTATTTTGTTTCTACTCAATGGTTTCTCGATGAAATTAAATGTTCCCGTTTCCCAGAATATGGACAATTTCAACAAGATTACTATGGTATTCATATTACCTCCATATTAAGAATAATCGAGAAAGGTCAACTTTGTCTTCTTAATCCGAATCCTCGAGCACTCAAACTACTTTACTCTCCAATAATCAAACCATACATTGTATTCCTGCGGCCATCTTATGATCTACTCTTCCAGAAATCATCTAAATTTATTCCTCTTTGTATTAATAGTGATCATCTACCAGTCCAGTCAATTGATCTCAAACAAATGGCTCTAAATTCAATGAAATTAGAATATCTTTACAGTCATTATTTTGATAGGATTCTAATTGTGGAGGACGTTGAGCAGATTAAAAAATGTCTCTTTGATACTGTCAAATTAATTAATATTGAAGATCAATGGGTTCCAGCGAGTTGGATACCAGAGTAATCAAATTTCAGCAAATCACAACTATCAATCATCATAATCAACATCAAAAGCCAATATTGATTTAATAATTAACAATTAGTAATAATCTAAACTTATAACTAAACCTAGTCAACAAATGATCATCATTTTCAAACAATTACACAATATTTAGTGATTTCTAGTCATCACATTTGATACTCAACAATCAACAAAATCTAAATCAGTTTATATACAATTTATTTTTTAGTTTAACTAAAAAAAAACAAGTAACTAATCATCTAATCAACTTCAACCACAATTAACTTAGTTGATCTAATATTTGTGATTTAATTTCAAGAAATACAATCAACAAATTTTACATTTGGATAAAAATGTAAACGCTATTATTTTTTGCGAAATAAAAAATAATTGTACAAATGAAAAAGGAAATGGATTGTTTTCTAATCAATAAGATTTGTAGAGACAATTTCACTAATTAATTACATAGAAAGATCGAAGACAAAAATTCTCGAACTTGAAAAGTGAATTAGAGTCAAGAAAAAGTCGAAAACGTCATTTACATAGGATCTTTTTTCCACAATTTATATTAAGCTCGAGGACAAACTATCACAAGGAAACAAAAGTCGATTAAAAAATAGATACTAATCAATGGCACTTTTGTAATCGCAACAATGGGACTACAAAATTTCAACAATTAGATGGGCGATTTGTAGACGGACGAGAATCCCGGTGGGTCAGTTTTGAATAGATGCTTAGAGTATCTTGGAAACATGGACATGAATTTGAATCTCGGCCCCATGTCATCCAGAATCATACGAACTCCCGAAACAAGATCTTCCTTTTGTTTCTCATCGGCGGTTTTCAATAGCATAGCGAGTCGAACACCGATTCCTAAATTTTCAAGGAAACTTTTCTGATCAATTGGACCATAGAAATGAGATTGATCGGCAACGTGTCTCTTTAGGTAACCAAAGTCAACATCAGCCGTTAAATCAGCTGACCCTGGTTCTTTCAGTGGATCCCATTGATTGTGGTCACGAAAAGCTCTGAATGTGTCACGAGATTTGGTGTCATTCTCATCGTAACCATAATCACAGATAAGAGCACAACCATCGTTGTTATTTAAACGTTTACTGATATTTTCCACCACCAATGCAGCCTCAGGGCAAATCTCTAGATGGTCAAGGTTTAAGTCATGGTGATTTTGAGTAATCAAAAGTTTACTGGCTGGAGTTGGATGTCGAGAGAGGACATAACGAAGCTCCTCATTGGCGTTGATATCGACAAGAACCTCTCGCCATTCACCAGCTTCGTTTTTCTGTTTTCCACAATCAAAAATAAACATCGAAAATTAATTATAAGAATACAAAACAACAATTATACATGTAAATGGCCAACATGATATCAATTGAAAGAGAATCTCAATTGTCAATGTTACCTGGAATTTGTGAATCGGCAATGCGTCCAAAAATTCGTGTGCAATGTAAACGGTAAAACCTGGAGCTTCGGGTACTTGATCTAATGACCGATACCAGGTTATTGGTAAACCTAATTTAGTTTGTGAATCGTGTCGGGTGAAATTATCTTTACCAAGAACGGAGACATTTCCACATAGATGTTGTTCTTGAATCTGAACGAGGTGGGGTGAGATTTCAACAAGGTGAAGTGATGCTTGATCTCGAACGAAACTGAACTGATTAAGAACACGGGAAATGTCCGAGGCCAAAGTTCCTCTGCCAGGTCCTAATTCAACGATTCTCAAAGGTCGACTACTATTGAAACGTTGCCATTCATTGATGAACCAAACAGCAATCAGCTAATTGATGAGGAGAGCAAAAAAAAAACAATCAGCAAACTATTTTCAAGGTGAATTGTTCAATCAAAATAATTCACTGATTAGATTATCAAATCAATAAAAGTTTAACAATCAATATCTATGGAAATCAATCAAGTAACAGTGTAAACCCTTAGACTATGTTTCAGTTTCATCACCAATCCAAAGGTTTGATGATATAACAAAAATGACGTTAATTATCTGGTTAACTGGTTATCAGAACAATCAAATAGATAAATCTAACATGTTTCCATGATAATAATCAAACTACAATTACGACCAATGAATGAACCATAGCAACAACAACAACAACAACAACAACAACAACAACAAAGGAAAAGCACAATAGAAACCCAAAGGTAAACCAACCTCTCCAAAGATTTGCGATATTTCGGGAGATGTAATAAAGTGGCCTGATCGCCCGAACACATCCTGTTTCATATAAAAACCCTGAAAAAGAAATTAAAAACAATAGAAAATTAGAAAAAAACAAGAAAAACAAAAGGTAAACAAAGAAAAAATCAACATTAGAAATGAGAAACATTTTCACTTACACTTGATGGACAAGTTAAAACTAATTTCATGTAATCAGCGATGGTCAAAGGTCCATTGAAGTTAATCCGTTGGATGATCTGTCGATGAAGTGGATTAAGACGTTGAACCGATTTAAACATGATGAGAATCAGCGAGAACAAGGAAACAAAACAGAGAGAGAGAGAGAGAGAGAGAGTGAATGGTGTACGTGAGGGAAGATAATCAATGTAAACAAGAGAAAGAAAGAGGAAAAGAAAGAGAGGAAATGAAGATGAGGAAGAAAAGTGAAACAAGAATTTAAATGTTCACTTGAAGAAGAAAACAATCCAACTGACCCACAAATAGAATAACAAAAATATAATCGAACACCGATCAACTGTTCCAATGAATTTCGATCAGTCAAATGAATGGAGAGAGAAAAAAATTCATCTCATCAACTAAAGTGAGTAGATGATCATAGTTACCATGGAATTGGAATTGAGAAAAGATAAGATTGAAAATGGATTAGAATTAGAGATTAGCCTTGAGGTGATTTTTTTTTCTTCTTCAATTTTAATCTGATTGAAACAGAAAGAAAAAAAAATTCTCTTTAAAATTAGTGAAGAAATGATTTTATTTATTGAAATGTAAAAAACAATGAATGAATTTGGTTTTTTGTTTTGGTTGATTTGTTTGATTAATATTTACAATGCGTACAAACAACAGTTATAATCAATTTGCAAAATCAATTTCAACTTCATCTCGTATCTCTTGATCTAATTTATTCTCATTATTTTCAGAATCTTCATCACCCTCATCAGATGATAATGATGGCGGTGGTGGTGATTCATTGGCTGATTGTTTTTCTCCTGATGATTCATTTTCATAAGGTCCATTCTCTTCAATCTCTTGGAACCGTTGGATTGCATAATTAAACCAAATTGTTTGATTTTCTGACAATTCTTCACCAATATATCGACGATACATTTCGTAAACAAGCATAGGATATTTTCGACAGGTATAAGAATCGTCAACATATTCTTCTTCACCGTCAGTGTACCTGACAAGATGAAGAATCTCATTACGGTATCCATACCATTCGAGTATTTCTTCAATCTGTTTCCCTCTCTCCCAACCAAAATATGAGGACTCGTAATCTTCATCTTCCTCATCGTCCTCTTCCTCTTCTTCATCATCATTTTCATCTGATGAACTTTCAATACACAGGATTGGCTTTTCATCTTCTAAAGGAGGTAAAAATGTTGGTTCATCTGTTATTTCAAATTTGCTTTCGAATGGCGATTCAAAGGTAACTTCAAATTTGGGTTCAAATTTTGATTCATCGATTTGGTGGTGATTAACTGGCTGTTCCAATGGTTGACTTGAGGTTATTTCAATGGTTTCTTGTTGGTGTTGTTGTTGTGGTTGCTGTTGGTCAACCTCTTCGATTTTTGTTATTCCATTGACACATATTGATGATGTTATTGGTAATTTTGTCCTTTTTGAGTCTTCACTTGAAAATCCACTTGATCGATGTCGTGATCGAGATGCTGCACTTCCACTGGAACCTAAATAAATTTGTATGGCTTCATTTTCTCTGACCAGTCGTGTTTTTTTCATCTTAGGAATGGTATTTGAATCTGAATCAACAGTAGTTGTTGATTCATCGTTGAGAAAATCGGTACTCAAATAGCCACTTTCATGATAAGAGTTATTACCTTTTTTTACTCTCCTTTTTTTAGATTTACGAGATTTCTCATAATCGGAATCATCATCATCACCATCCACAGTTAAATCAATTTTATTTCTCGAAGATAAATTTTTCCTTCGGCCTCTTTTACGACGACGGTAAATAACTTCAACATCAGATGAATTAGATGAATCTTCAGCTTTAACTTGTTTATCCAAACAAAACATGGTCCATGAAGACGATTAAAAAACACCAAAAACAAAGAAAAAAAGAGAAAAGAACAAAAAAAAATCAAAGATTAAACAAAATGAAACAAAGTGAAAAGAAAACTGGAAATAATCTTAATGATGAAAGAATGGAAAAAACAAAGGATCTATCGTATGGTTAATCTTTGTTTCCCTAATTAAGAATGATGATTACCTAATGCGTCAGCTTTTCTTTGTTGTTCGTCCTCATATTCTTGGATTAAATTTTCACATTTCTCACAATTGGCCTCCGGCTCCCAAGTACTTTCCTCTAACGGCCACCCTAACCATTTAACGAGATAATAAGTAACACCATCGATAATTTTTTTACTTTTAATCGCCTCAACAGCATATTCCTCATGTCCACCATTTTTATTATCACCATCAACATGAGGCTCGGCCATTTTGTTTCTCTTAAAATTTATCCTCAGATAAACGGACAAAAATGCCCAACAAGCCAGAGAGAGAGAGAGAGAGAGAGAGGGAACAATAATTTCAACTCAATTATCAAAAACACTTTAGCACAATCAAAGCGCAAACAAAACCAAGATTTATATGAATAGTTGTACTTTTTTTTTAAACACCAATTAAAATCAACCAAAAATCAATTAACGACAATGGAATAAAGTAAGAAAAGAAAACAGAACAGAAGAACGGGAGAGAGAAATACAGATAAAGATGATGATGAGAGAGAAAGAAAAAAATGTCAACCTGTAGTTTATGGCATAAGAAAAATAGCAGAGAAAAAAAAAGTAGCCAAAAAAAGAAAATGAGAGAAAAACAAAAGCGAGAGAGAAAAAAGTGAGAGGTGAAAATTGAGAAGAAGATAAAGTTAATCACTAATAATAGAAAAATCGAGAGAGAAACACAGAGAGAGAGAGAGAGAGAGCGAAAGAGAGAAAAGAATCACAATTAACAATCAACTAATTAAGTAGAATTAAATTAGGACCTTAAACACTTCACTTGTTAATCACTTGAAGATTTGGGGGTTAAAGTCTCAACAATCAAGGTCGATTGTTGTCTAATCTTTTCTCCAAAAATGTTCTCCCTCTTTTTTCATTTTCTATTCTCTTTTCTTTTTTATTCGATCAACCATTTTGCTCACACATTTAATGTTCTCCAACACCTCAAGTGACTCATTTCACCTTTTTTCTCTTCGCCTAATTAATCGAATTAATTAATTAACCATTTAATTGAAATATTTTTTTTTCTCTTTCTCATCCCTACAATTGACCGTTAATTCAACTCATCTGTTGATTTTTTAGATTTTAATCTATGTTTTTTTTGCTTTTATCCTCTCATCTCTCTCTCGGTTAATCCTTAATTATGATCTTGTTTTTTTGTTTTCATAACTCTCTCTGTTTTTCTCTCTCACTCTCTTGATTTTGTTTGTTTTGATTAATTTATTGTTGATCATCATCTTGAGAGATTGTGTCTTATTGATTGTCTCTGTTTTCTTGGTGAATTTTTCATGGTGTTTGATGTTGACTTTTCTTGTAAATTAAATGTTGGCTCAACGGAAATTGGTTCAATTATTATGGTTCCATTTTGTTTGGAGGATGTGCTACTTTTACCTCGATTATCGTTGATTAATTTTCTAAAATCTAAATTAAATTGGTTTATCAGTTTGTAATATGATTCTAAAATTTTCAACAGTGAATCTCTCTGTTTGTCTGTTAAATCGGGATGATTTTGTACTGCGATTCGTGTTGATGTTGGTGTATGAAGAGGATCATTATTGTGTAATTCAGCTAATGGATGAGCTACCGAGTGAATCTCATCAGAAGCCGATGTACCTTCAAAATCATCAAGATCAGTAAAATGAGCTGTCATTGGATTTGTGTGGATATTTTTAAATCCCCTTGGGCTTTCTACATGATAACGATGGGGATTACTTTGAGATGGCATTTTATCACCATGAACATAATACTCATTGTCTTCAAAATGTTTATTGCTATTGTGCTGATGATTCTGCTGATGGTTATTATTATTGTTGTTATGATTATGATGATGATGGTGCTGATTATTGTTACCAATGTTGACATTTTGATTGTTACCATTACTCCATGATGGAAATCTTGAATTGGTTCTCCATGGAGTGGAAATGGTTGGTGGTGTCGTTGTGGAAACGATCGTTATTGGCCTTGTAGAGTGTATTGGGAATGTTGATTGAGGAGTTGATGGTGTTACTGATGAGATAGACTTTGCATTTGCTGCTTTTGCTTGTGCTTGGGCCTCTGGTGATTTGATACGAAGAGACTCGAATCTTGGACTAATGGTCATTTTAACTGGTTCTGGGAAATATTTTTTTGGTTTCTGCGTCTTGATCAATTGTTTTTTGTCATCTTCCCGAGGGACATGAACAGCTCTAATAGAGCTTGATGATGAAATTGATGAAGATGTTGATACCGTTGGTGGATAGGATAAATTAGGCATCGGTGTTATGTTGATATTGTTCAAGAAATTTGTGGAAACTGGTGGTGGTACTTTTGTCTTCTCAGCTGACATTTTATCATTTGATGGAAAAACTGGTGAATTTTTATCAGAATGTCGAATAAAAGAAGTTGGTTGTAAACTTGGACGTTCTTTTGGCCGTATCTTGAATAATGGTTTCACTGTTGTCGTCGTCGTTACTGTCGGTACATTGGCAGTAAAAACTGGACTTTGAATACTTTCGGCTGTTTTAAAGGCTAAATTTCGTTGGCCCGGCTGCTTGAATGGACGTTCAGCTTGAATCTGATGATTTCCACTAACATGATAACCAAATTTATCATTAACATCCAACTGTAATGGACTAGCGAAATGATGATTAAAGTGGCCTTCAGCTTCTGGTGATAACAATGAAAGAAAATACCATTGGTGTTATGAAAAAGGATAATTTCAATTGCCAGGATTGATTATAAAACATTAAGACATTAACAACTTTCATAAATTAGTCTATCTCATCTTTATCATCAAAGTGAAAGTAATACTCTAATTTAATTAAGTTCAATCAAGAATTTCTCAAGCAATTAAACGGTATATTTATACACATTTGTACGATAAGGAAGATGTTACAATTGTGCTCAAAGGTAAATAATTGTTAATCCAGTTGATGTGTAATTGATTTAAGAATTGCTACTTCTAATCTCGTTCTCTTTTTTTTTTTTTCATGTAACCAGAAAAAGATTCTCATCAATCGCCTAGAGGAATTGGAAAATTAGTTGCGAATTTTGAATGATAATCAGAATTTGAGCGAAAGAAAAACAAATTGTTACTGTTTATTGGAAACAGGAAACAAATGATTTAGATAAAGCTCTTAATTAACAATTAATACACAATATCGAGTTATAATTAGTTAAAAACGTGAAAAGATCAACCTAAAATCGACATGATTGGAATTTGAATTGGACGAAAAAAAATCGAATTGATTAATTATTGATTGTGTCATAGTCAATGAAGAATTAAGATTAAAAGAAATTAATTCCGGAAATGATGATCATCGGGAAGACAAAAGGAATCAACAAAACCAATTATAATTATAATATTAATCTAATAACAACAATCACCTTAAATTGCACCAACTTTAATCAACTAAAAAACGGATTACAATTGTGATTAAGCGAGACAACGATTGTTTAATTACTAAACTAATGTAATTGGAAAACTTTTAATTGTTATGATCAACAATGTATATTGATACAAGTAATAGTAATTTGTTGATCACTAACAACTTTCAATTGCAAATGATTAAGGTAACACCTTTAAGACCATTAAGAATTAACTTATTAACAATTTACATTTCTATTATTAGGTTGAAATTAATTACCTTCATTAATCAGCGTTTTATCATAATCAACAAGAAACAAACAATCAACAAGGATAATCATCATGAAATTAATCAGGTAAATTCACAAATTAACTTATAGATAAACTTAAAAATGATGAAATTTTGTTTCCTTTTTCGATTACAATTAATTGTGATACAATTGTATTGAGTTTCTCTTTTTTCTTTGATCAAACCATTTAAATGAATTGTTGTTGATTATGTTTAAATTGTCATCATTTTTATTTACCATAAAAAGGTAGATACATAATGATAATGCCAATAAGTGATGATTGTGATCAATATTATTCATCATTACCATTTGATGGTTAAATCAATCAACTGAATCAACTATTATCTCCTTTAAGATTTTTCTACCTGTAAAAACATATTATGTCAACTATTTAGTTTACCAATTAAGGTAATAATCAAAAAAACAATGATGCATTTTGTTAATCATCAATATTAATCATCTAACAGAAATGTATTGTTATTAATCCTGATAATACAATTAGATGGAAACTAATTCATATGATAATTACTATTGACCATTGACTCTCCTGTTAATTACTTGAAACGTTTTCTTTTTAATCAAAGTGTTGGGATGATGCAAATTAACTTATCCCTCGAACAATTAATTAATCAACCAAAGTTTTAAGGTTGGGTTAACATTGTCTTTCTAATGATATAACAACAATTAAACTGTTAATAGCATTTATTTCATATAAATATAAGTTAATTTAGTTTAATTATTGACCTTTAATTAATTTATTTTCTTAATTAATATCAATACTCAGGTCATGTCTTCAACAATTAGCTAACAATTAATTCAGTAATTTAATCGGTTAAATTTTTTCCTCTTTTCTTTTCTTTAAATGATCAATTCAATTGATTAGAATTAATTTTCTTTTAATTTCTTTTTCTTAACTAGTTAATTAGCGACAACATTAATTAGCCTGTTTTATTTTGGCCTAAAACTGGTGTGATTGGACATTTGGATGGACATTACTTGCTATCAACCAGATAAATGATGGACAATCAACTTTAGATTGATAATTAAGAAGAGAAAAAAGTGAAAATTCTTGTGCCTGATTGTTAATCAAGTTAATTATTTCTTCTGATGGGAACAGGTGAAAACAATTACAGGGTCAGATGAGTCGAAAAATGAAAATGTTCAAAAATTCATTTCGCTTTCTTTACCGATGCCAAACACCAAACAATCAAGCCCGATTGAACAATTAGATCAAATTGTTTTCAACTTCGTTATGTTTACAATTAACATCATCACCATTAACCACTAAAAGAAACCACTGACAGACAAACACACACACACATACACTCACTCAATCAAACCAAACCAAACAAAAAAAATTTACTAATTAATGGCCATCAAATTAACAATTAAACCAAATGAACGGACAGATGATCAACCAGTTAATGCACATAATCAAATGGAAAGCTAACCATTGAATTAACAAAGATACAAAATTGATAGAAATCAATTTGCTCGTCCAACTCGAATAACAATTTAAATCCAAAGGAGTAAAATTAACTAATCAACTTCCTGCTAGTTAAATTATTGATCAATTTAGGCTTCTGCGGAGGATGTTAATTGTTAATCAACGGGAGTATCTTCACCTTTATTCATCCATAACCAACCAGTACCTTTATTATCAACAGCATAATTATTACTCTTCCCTTAATCATCATGATAATAAAATGGAAGTCGCTTCATCTTCTATTAGCTGTTAATCATCTTAAATTGTTCCAGTTTAGATGAATTTTCTATTCGCTTCATTTATGTCCAATTCTCTTGATTGGTTTGATCGTCATCGTCTTCGTCGTCGTCTTCTTTACACCCTCGACCTCCGTGCGTTAATTCACAATCACACGCTCACGCTCATACTTATGGATTAGTGGATCATCCCAGTTAAACTCATTTCTCAAGGTGAGAAATGAATTAAGACAAAAAAGATCATTTTTCCATCTTCTTTTCTCATCATGATCCGTATCATCATTTACAATTATTAACTATTGATTAACATTTGTGATATACCCAAAAATGAGACAAATTGTTAATCACAATTTGTCTGATTGTGAACAAAATAATCAATTTAATTGGAACGAGAAAAATCAACAATCAATAGGTTTGGTTGTAAACTTGTCTCTTTGTTTTCATCATCATTATTTTCCCTTCTTGATTGTTAATCAATTGTGATTAGTTAATTTAGATTTTCTCATAGTCTAAGTTTCTAAATAATTGCGATTCCTGATGTGAAACTTTGATTCATAATTAACAATCAATTTTTCATTCATTCAACTAATTAACTTTGATATTGTCTTAATTGATAATTTAATTACAATATTCATTGAGCAATTTTTGTCGGTTGTACAATTTAAAGTAAATTTACAAAACTGACCTTTTAATCAATAATTAACTTGATGAATATTAATTGTGACCTGTTGAAGAAAAATTTTCACTCAAACAATTAACCAAATATGCTAATCAAATTGTGATTACAAGCAAATACAACGCAGCTAAACAAAATTAACCTAATTGAATTTAATGATCAACAATCAAGTGATAAAATTGATCAACAAATACAAAACTAATTAACTTGAAAACTGTTAACAAAATTTACCTTTAACCATCAACCGATTGGAATAACAAATTAGATTCAAATTATTGACAATCAAATCTCACCTAATTGTCATTATCTATATATATTGACTATTATGGTTTACCGTTAATTGTAACTTAATTGTTGAGAAAATTAAATTTAAATCACTTACCTGGAGGTAACATGTAAGTGTGAATAGTTTGTGTATCTTTATGTTGATAATCAGGTAAAACTTTTGTCATGAAAGGGAAAGATTCATCTTCCCCTGAGGCTATAACTTCATCCATTGAAGATTCAACCATTTGCCGATCAATTTGATCATAGATGACAAATTTACCGTTATGAATATTATCCCGAAACTCATTTCCACCACCAGCACCAGCACCAAGTCCACCTCCGGGAGAGGAATCAAATATTTCCTCGGTTAAAGTTAATTGTAAACAATTAATAACAATGGAAACAACAATTACCACAAACATCACTGGTAAAGATGTTAACCAACAACAATTAACCATAATGATGATTGTGATGGATTAACTTTGTTTTCTACAATATCACAATTAGTAAATTTAAAGTGATTTCTATTGAATATGTAGTTGATTAAATCAAATGGAATTGGAAACAATTAACTTTTAAGAGAAGGTAAAAAAATCAATTCTTTTAACAATAACTCAAAACAAAGTAAACAAATGAAAGGTAACAATTTGTAAATTGTGATTCTTTTTGTGATTGTGATTAGTGAGAGAAATGAAATGATCAACACTAAATGATCAATTGAATTGAGTGAGTGAGATGATGATCAAGTTAATGATGATGATGATAAAATATTAAGGAGCTGAAGATGAAAACTTGTTTACTTGTTTTCAAGAATCAACAACAACAACAACAAACACTTTGATTTAATTCACATCATCGACAATTATATTAATCGTTCTGATGATGATGATTAACTTAACATTATGAATGACAATTAACATGGGGTCAGATTAATCTTATTGTTGATTGTTGATCTTGATTGTTAAGTATCATTGGAATACCTTAATCATAATTGTCATGTAAAATTTTCAATAATGATTATCATTGAATTGTTATTATTGAAAAACAATTAAAATCTTTTAGGTTAATTTGATTGTAACCCATTGAGTAGGAATGAAATGATATTTTCTTCATTTAAACAATCAATTTTTCTTCTAACAATTGAGATAATATAATTTATCTGATTATCTTAACATGGTGATTAAATTGATATGGATCAAAATTGTAAATTGTTACAGTGAAAATAACAGTTTTTCAATGAATATAATGATAATCTCACATTTAGATTATTAAAATTAAGGACAAACCATTGATAATTGATTGTATATGCGAATGATGATTAAATATTGTAAAGTTAATTGTGTTAATTAAACTTTAGGGCTTGAAAATGTTGGAAATTAATTTGATCCAATTGGGAGATTTTCTTTTAGTTTCATGGCAAAGTCAATTAACACGTTCTTGTGATAACAATTTCGTTTCTTGTAATGAGTGTTTTCACTTGATTGTTACTGTAAGTTAATCATCATCATCATTGTTGGCAGTTAATTAAAGATCCTAACCAGTGAACGAGATAGAAATTATTATTATTGACACATAATTTGTTCATCTCTAGTTACTAAATTGGTTCCTTGTTATCTTCCCTCTCCTACGATCAGTATTTTGGTGAATTTAACATGATTTAAGATCATGGTTGCCAGGAATAGATTAAGATGATTATAAGAATAGATAAAAAATCCTTTAATTTTCATCATCTTGTTTGAAAACAACGAGCGATTTACACACCAAATCCTTGGTTACATATTCCAAAAAAAAAAGAAAACCAAATGAAACCTGTAAACAAGTAAGAGAACAATTTAAGATATGATTAATTAATTTACTTGTCACACAATGAAAGATGGATAAAAGGATTGAAATGGTTTACTCACATTGAAAAAGATTAACTAATTAATTACCAAAGAAATTAACCAAAGTTGATTAACAAACATCTTCTTGGAACACACATAAGCAAAATTTTCCATCCCAGAGAAACATAAACAAAGAAAAACACTTAAATTAACATGAGAATCAATTCCAATATAATGTCACACTGTTGATGGTTATAGATGGACAATTAATTCAATCTCTAACATAAAAGAATAATAAAACTAATTAATTAAAAAGAAAATTAAAAATCAAATTGATTTGGGAAAAGAACAAAAAATTAAGAGGGAAAAACGGTTAACATGGCAACCGAATCACCTGATTGGGTTTCCAATGGTAACTAACCAAATGACCGGTGACAGTTAACGAAAGGATTAGTTAATTACGAGAAATTAACTAATTTTGTTCTTAATTTTTCATTTTCTACACTAAATTAATTACAATTTGTTAATGTTCCATGTAGTGTTCATAATGCTGTTAATTAAGATGAAATTAAACTTTGGATTAACGTCATCATCAAGATCACACTTCACTTAAGGGGGAAAATGTAACATCTCTATGGGTAAGTCAACCATTTTGTTTTTTAATTTCTTCTTTCTTTTTTTCTCTATAATTTAAATTTTTCTTTCTAATTATCATTGTTTCACAATTAGAGATTAAATTTTTTGACATTAATTAATTAATGGAATTGTTAGTGTGTGGATTAGATATGAAGGTGGAGAAGAAAGAATTTTTTTTTTCGAAAATTTTTCTTTCTCTTTTCTTGAATATTCTTCAAGAGAATTTCTCTTTTCTCTTTTTGAATATTTTGAGATATTAAAACAAAATTTTCTTTTCCTGGTAAGATTAACTTTGTGATTTACTAATTAACTGTACATAGTTGAGATTATGATTTAATGTTATTGTAAACCATCAACCTCAATATCTAAAATATGAGCTTTTTTTATCATTTTCAATGTTAACCTAATATCCTAATCTGTCGGTGTAGGCGGAGGTGAGCTAAAGGTTTATGGCTGAAAATGATGATGACTTTGGATTTTCAAGTGAATTCAGTTAATTATCATGAGTATTATCATGATGCTGATAATGTGTAGAGATATTTATGAGAAAATGGTGGGTTGGGGGAGGATAGATAAAGAAAGAGAAACAGAGAGAAATAGATTGAAATCTGTTGAAAATTCACCATAGGGAAAGGCCTCAAAATAAATGGAACCCAAATTTTTGACATTAACCTTCACAGTTTATCAGCAGTGAATTAACCATGACAATCAAGAATAATATTATTCAAGATAATTTGTAGATTCAATTGACAATAATTATATTGAGGGAAAAGATGAAAGATTAACACAGATTCTAATTTACTTCTATGAGTATAAATTAGAAAAGAAAGTTTATTTTGACAACTCGTTTCTCTTTTCCAATCACACAATCAAATCATTTAAATAAACAGTTCCAATGATAAACAAGATACTAATTCAGTACATGAATAGATTTTGTTTTCTTCAACAATTAACATTCAACAATTTGAGTATTGAAATGATTTAACAAATTAGCTTTAAATTGCTACATTTGGAACAACATTTTTAACCATTAAAATAGTTAATTAATTAAGTTGAAACTTTAAGTCTATTTAATGGTAAAACTACTTTATGTTCATCAAATTGTTTGGATAGTTAAGCAAATTAGTTGATTGTGTTAATGATTCAATCGTTAACAATGTTTCAAAAGAGACAGACTTTAATAACAATTACCTTGATGATCATGTTTAATTGGTTACATGATTCTGCTTACAATTGAATTAATTTCCCTCAATTTGACCTAAAAAATTGTTGATTTATCTAATTTTGATTGGTCATCTGTAACTGTAAACACAATTATATTCACCATTTAAACATAACAGTAGTTAAAACATTAGAGTGATAATTAGTCTATTATTACATAAGTGATTAGTTAAATCAAACAAAAAAATTAATGGATTAGGAAAGAGGGATCATCATCTTTGTTATTAAGATCATCGGATTACAAGAAGATTGTGGTTAATGATGATTAGAAGATGAAAGAAGTTTTTATTTTTAACATAATCATCTCTCTCTCTCTCGAAAGTGAGAAGACGATAAAAAAAGATGATAAGTATTCGTCCTACTATTACTACTTCGAGAACAAGTTTCCCACCGTGTATCATGATGATGTTATTATAATATGGAATATCATCCACCCATGGGTGTAGAAATGTTGGAATTGAAGCCAAATTTACCTAAGATGATCCTCTTTACACTTGCGAATTCGAACAAAAAAAGAAAGAAAAGAAAGAAGAAGATGAAATGAACTGAGTTAAGCAGAATTTAGTAGTGTGTCAGTAGTATGTAAATAATCAACATTGCATGAGCGAGAGAGAGAGAAAGTAAGTGAGAGTTTGAGTTGAAAAGAGAGAGTAATTTTAAGACAGTAGTAAATTCAGATTCTGAATCACATGAAACCAAAATAACATTTGAAATAATTAAATTCTTTATGATCTTATGGTGTTTATACTTTAATCCAGTCAGTTAATCTCTTCAATTTAAAGTTAATACTAATCATATAATTAATACCTTTTCCTTTCTCCTTTTTCCTTTACATTTCGTTTAATCTGATCATCATCTTCCTTTTCTGTGTTTGTCCTCATCATCATGTCCAAGATTAATCCAAATGATTTAATTGCTGTGGGTGCTGGTGTTGATCAAACAATTACCGGGCAACCATGTAAATTTTTGGTTCGTGGAGTCAAGGGTAACTATGAACGAGTTAACTGTACCATTGACGGACCCGCTGAACCCTCGGCAAATCGTGAACCCATGGACGATGGTAACCTGGAGATAACTTATACTCCACCTCTTCCCGGTGAATATAAAGTGACCGTTCAGATTGACGGTAAACACATAAAGGGAAGTCCATACAAGGTTGAAGTGATCGGTGAGAAAGATCCTAAACTTGAACGAGTATCCAAAGTTGATGTCGCTGGTAAAGGTATCGCCATTGGTAAATGTTGTATGCAAAATGAATTCTGGATTGATGGACGTAAGGCCAATATTACCGCCGGTTTAACTGTTCACATTAAAAATCCTCAAAGAGCCTCAAGTCAATTGAAAATAACCGATATGGGAGACGGAACCTTCAAGTGCGCTTATAAACCCACCGCTCAGGGATTATTTGTGATCGATATTAAAGTTGAAGGTGTTCATGTTCCCGGAAGTCCATTTTATGTCCGAATCACGTAGAGAAACACCCGATTAGCGGATTACCAGGTATCTTTAAAAAGGAGATTAAGATCATTTTCTCGAGTGAAAAAAAAATCATAACAACAATTTGGATACAATTATAACGTATTAATAATAATTAACCAAATTGTAATTTGATTTTCAATGTATACAAAACAAGAAAGTCTATAACAATTAATATATACATATTAATATATTTTAAACAAGATTGGCAAACCAAATTAATTGTTAATTTGATTAATTGTTGAACGTGTAAAGAACGTGTCTTTCATGTTAATTCATGAAAAATTGTTAATCGTTAAATTAATTGATATATTTATGAGATTATCCTTGAACAATTAACTTTAAAAGTTAAATGTAAACTTCATTTTGTTGATAATTTAAATTTTTTTCCAGAGTTTAAATTATAACATTCACAGAGATTATAAGTTAATCATTTAGATTAGTGATTAATTACTTTAAGAATTTTTTAATTGTTGCTTTGAAACGTAAAGACAAATTTAGATTACCATGTTTAGCTAATAACAATTAACTCTTACTATTAAGTTAAATTTTTTTTCATCTAAAATGTTGTTGACAATTTAAGATGATGATCGATTGTGATTTAAATAATAATGAAGATTAGCATGATGATTAACTGAGCCCTTGAAATCCTTTCAACCGGATTTACTAATCATTCCAGTATTTGTTTTACTTAATCCAAGATGATCACTGAAAGATTTAAATTGTCACAATTACTTTTGATGATTAGAATCTTTAATAAATCATTTTTTTACTCAATAACGATTAATAAATTGTAGGTAAAACGATCTACCCAAATAATAACAAGTTAATTGTCTTAATCGTTTGAACAATAGTGTAAAAAATTAAAAAGGAAAACACAATTTACCTGAACAATAAAACCATCATCATCATTTGTTGATTGTGATTGTGATGATTAGTTTAAAGGTGAATTTAAATATTTGATCAACATCAATCTAACTAATCCGGTCTAATGAATGTAGTACAATCAATAAATTGTTTGATCTAATTTCAAGGCCTAATGATGGTTAATTTTAATTGTTTCGCTTGTGATTTTGATCCTTAATTTATTTGTTGATCCGACAACTAAATTTGTTTCTCATTCGCAAAAATTTAACTTTTGATTGTTGAAACCATTTAATTCCTGATTCCATAATTAAAGGTCTCATCATAATCACCATGAAATGGTTAATGTGGTGTCACAATTTATACTTAATAAATTGTTAATCTTACTAAATTTTGATTCTAAATTGTATTTTGATTGTGACAAAATTTGAGAAATTGTTATGGAAATAAATTGTTGATGGTTAATAAAGCATAGAGATTATAATCCTTGATTCCAACCCAATTGGCATCAGTTCGAGACAATTTGTTAATCATCTAGAAAAAAAACACAACAGAATTTAGTTTTATAAATATAATTGTGAAATTAGAGGAAAATTAAAAATTCACAATTAAAACTAATTGTCTCAAGAGAAATACAATTAAACTTGTCTGAACCTTTTCACCTTTTTTTTTCATCAAAAATCAATCATTTGCTTCATTTTGATGGTTTGATTGCAAAGGACAATTAAGGTTATCAACAAATGATTGGCCATCAATTGATCACTTGACAATCAAATAGATTGTAAGTGATTAGTTGATTATTTGTACAAAAAGTGGTGAATTTATTGTTACTCTTTTGTTGGTTGACCATTAGAAGAAACAAAAATCAACAGAAAACAATTTGATTCTTAAGTGAAAACAATACAATTAATCGTCTTAATTTAATTTCCTTAATTATTTTAGTTCCTTTTTTTTAATTTTCTCAGTTTTGATTATGTTTTTTTAGATCAAAGTTTCAAATCATGTTATTAGTATTGTCCATCTATAATTTACTTTTCCTGTGGTCATCGTTGGTTCCGTCAGTTGATTGTTCATCAAATGGACAAGATGAGGTTGACAATCGACAAAAAATTCATGAGTTAATCACTGTTTATTTGGAGAAACATGGAATAGGTAGAAACACCTTCGTAGAGCTAAATAATTGTCTCGATGATTTATCCAAGCAATTAAAGCAACGTGAAGACTTGGTCAAGCAATTAAAGGCTAAAGTTGATAAAATTTGGGTCACCAATCAAGCGCAAACTTTAAAGACAAAGGTTTTCGTCAATGGTAACGTAAGAGTACTAAATAGATTAACACCTAAAAATGTGATCATCACAAAGGCCTTTGTTGATGAAAAACGTGGTGATTATGATAATCTTCAAAGAAGATTAACTCAAGCATCCAGAGATGTTGATAGAATCGCCTATCAGATTGACCATCAAGTAGTTCGTAAAGATAAACCTCAACAAAGGATCAATGGAACCATTCACTTTCTTAGTCCAATTACTGCCAACAGAATAACTATCAAAACGGTCAAGCCAAGTTCCGTTATTAATGGAATATCTTTAGCGGAATTAAAGACCAATGTCCTTCGTCGAGTTGGTAATCAAACGGTCACCGGCCATTGGAAATTCACCTCAACCCTTTTCGTTGACAATTTAGAGGTTAAAGGGTTACTTTCGGGTATCGACATGTCCAAAATACTGTTAACCAATTCACCGATTGAACAAGAGATCACTGGTCGTTTTAAAATTGGACAAGCAACCTTGAGGTCACTTATGTTTGATTCAATCAACGGGATTGATAAAAATGAACTTGTTTTTAGAAAAAACTTCCTGTCAACACCAATAACGGGATCTAAGAGATTTACCCAAGTCCTTTCCATGAACAGTGTAAATTTAACGGGTAACCTTAATGGCCGTGATTGGAATCATCTGGTGGCTCGTTCGATCAACATTAATTCACCAAGTCCAATAATGACCTCGTTAACATTTTCCACTGTGCCAACAATCAAAAATTTAAACGCTCGCTCAGTGAATAATATAAATATATCTCATCTGAAATCTGGACTTACACCTGGAGAGTTGATAAAATTATCGGGCTCTAAAACCTTTCGTAGCCTGAATGCTGAAAAGGTAATTTTAAGAGGAAAATTAAATGGCCTCTCAGTTCCAGATGATCTGGTGACTTTAAGGTCATTACAAAATCTTTCTGCACCCATAACCTTTGATGGAAGGGTTAGATTTATTTCTAATTTAACCATTGGTACGATAAATGGTGTGGACATTGTTCGAGATACAGTTTATCGTCTATCAGCTCAACCTCAAATTGTCCATGGAACAAAAGTTTTCGATAACAATGTTAAAGTTCGCAATTTAAAGTCAAGAGCAAACAAATTGAGACACATCAATCTCGATTCTCTTGATCCAATGGCATCTGATGGAGCACAATTTTCCCGTCGTAGTAACGTCATTTACAAGGACAGTTTAACCATCAATGGAAATTTGAAAGTTAAAACAATCAATGGTATCCAAATAGATGATCTGATAGCCAGGCTATTTTCCCGTTCTCGTGATCAATTTGTTTCCTGGCCTACAAAATTCAACGGAAGCCTTTCTGTTGGTTCGGTAACCACAAATACGGTTAATGGATTACAAGTTGAAAAAGATTTAGTTAAAATAAACACCAATGGAGCCGAACAAGTGATCACAGGTCGTAAAGTGTTCAACTCTTTAACCCTTGATACCGAAAGTGAATTGATTATGAAAGGTCGATTTATGAATGGAATTGAATTAAAATCAATCGATACAATTAAGAATGACCCTACAAGACGAAAAGACTGTTATGGTCGGAAGGTTTTCTCTTCGGTTAAAGTTTTGGGAAATATTATCGCTGAAAAAGTCAATGGATTGGACTTGGAACGAGATGTGATGCTAACCGATCGACCACAGAACATAACCGGTAAACTGACCTTTACTTCAAATGTTAACTCGTACCAAATATCATTCCCTTCTGGCCTCAAGGTTAATAAGATAAACGGACAATCAATAGATGAAAAATTGGATCATCTTGTTTTACGTGATTCACAATCGGTTACTCTGGAAAACAAAGATTTCCATGGTGGTCTAGTCGCCGATGAGATTGATCTTTTAGGAACAATTAACGGTGTTGATTTGAATCAACTTGCCAATCACGTGGTAAATCTGGACTCCCCTCAGGCCATTTACTCGCCGTTACGATTTGAAGACGAGGTTACATTTGACAATCCGATAAACACTCGTTCGATCAATGGTTTTGATCTTCAGAACAAATTTTCTTCCATCATTGATTCAGATAATAATCGTAAAATCACAATCAATGGAAATTTAAAAATCAATGGTAACATAATCACTGGTCGATTGAATAATCAACCAACAGAGGAACTGAAAAACATCATATTCCAGTCCAATATTGATAATCGATTTAATCGAAAGGTCATTTTCAACTCATCAGTGACCATCGACCATTTAACTCTTAGCCCAACGGCAACATTAGACGGTATTCGGCCTGCTGACCTGATACCGTTAGACAAGCCAATTCAGTTAGATGGACCAATGAGGATTCGTGGTAGTGTTCACATTGACAATCAGCTGATTGTCCGCTCTGGAGTAATCAACAATTGCTCTCTAAATGAAATGACCCTTTTAACTGAGCATCGAGATCCAACAAAAGCATTACTCTTTAATCAACCAATTGACTTTAATCAGCTTAACATTCTTGGTAATTTAAGACTAATCAAAAGTACAATTAATGGAGTCGATGTTAACCAATTGTCTAATCAAGTTAGAATTGTTTCCTCTAATCATCAAAGTTTCAATTCCTCATTCACCTTTGCTAATGATGTTTATGTTGATGAACTATTTATTTCTGGTCCAATTAATGGTGTTGATTTACAAGCAATTTATTCTGATTGTGTACGAAAATCAGCTGGACATCAGAAAATTACTGGACACAAAGTATTCAAATCGCTTCGGATCAATAATGGTGATGTGACATTTAATGGAAATGTTCAATTACGTGGTACAATCAACGGAATCAATATAACCCAATTAAACGAAAATCTAATTAAACCAGGAAGTTTTAATACTATTCATGGAGTGAAAATTTTCACCTCCAATCAGCCAATTGTACTGAACAACATTGAATCATCATCATTGAGTGGTGTTGATTTAAGTAAATTAGTTTTAACATCAACTTCAGAAACCTTACCAGAAGAAACAATATTCACCAAGCCAATCGAAGTGGACAATTTAACAGTTCCAAGTCATCATGGTCGACAATTGACCAATAAACAAAGTTCCGTTCAATTTATGGATCCAGTTAATGTCCAGCAATTAAAAGTTAAACGTATAAATGGTATTCCAATTGAAAATTTTGTCTCAACACTTCGTTCAACTCAATTAAACGGATCATATATGCTAAATAAGATTTACATTCATGGTGATCTAATTATGGACCCAAATTCAACAGTTAACAACGTTGATTTATCTGAGATTAAAGATCGATCTGTGGACTTACGATCACCTAAACCAATTCCTGGTTTAATAGTTTTCGCTGGTGATGCCAATTTTGAACAAGGAATCAAATTAACTCATGATAACGTCAATGGACCTGGTGCTTCAGTGCGACTCGCTAAATCGCTTGGAAATACAAGCAATTGGCTTGAAATGGACTTGAAACAATTAGAAAGTGAATTGCGAAATCAAACCATGTTATTAGCTCGTTATTCTGCAAAAATTGATCCTGGAGAGTTGAAATTCCATGATTTCGATGTCATTGATTATTTCAACGATTTCGACATTGATACCGATCGTGTTGAGAAGATTTCGATTTCTAAACATTACTGTTCTGTCGCTGATAAGTGTAAATCTAATCAACAACTTACTCGAACAGTTTATCTACAATATGCTAATCTATCTGATAATTGTCAACGAAAAACGTCAACATTTGAAATCCAAGGGAATAGTAAACAGTCATTGAAAGATGGACTGATTAATGCCGATGGAAAATATTTCCCGTTAACAACATTCTCGATTGGAGATGATGATTCAATCAGTGTCTCTGCATTTACCAATTTAACTGATTGTGAAATTGATCAAGAAAATTACGTATCAACAGTTACGATTGATTATCTGACCAATGGGTCAGAAATTTCGGAAACTTATCGATTTAAAGAATTGGAGTTATTTTCTGATATCAATTATTTCTTGGATAATGATGAGATTATCTTGGTCACTTTGAGATCAATTAAAGGATCACAATCAATGGTCAAAATTTATCGATGTGGACAAAGAGCTCTAACTGGTCAGAAACCGTGTAGACTAATTAGCCGATTGAATAAACCGAATTCAATTTCAATGGAAATGATCAACTCATCTAAATTGAACAAGAAATTACTGGCAATCATGACGAAGCCTTCTGATTGTTCACAAAACTCAACAATTTCAATCTTCGAATGGATTAACCAAAATTTCACTGAATTGGGATTAGTATCAACTCCAAATCCATTAACAATGAAGTTCATTGAATATCCTCAAAGTAAACAAATTGATCTAATTGTTGGTAACAATTTAGAAACTGGTGTTTGTGCTAAATCTAAATCAACTGAGAATCTTAGTTCAATGGTTAATGTTTATCGAGTTAATTTTTCACAAGAACGACAAATTAACTTGCAACAATCAATGAATCTAAATGTTAATTCAATCAGTTCATTTATTGTGAGCGATCAAATTTACCTCGTCCTATCAAGTAAATCAGCTGATAAAACATTCATTTATCAATATGATCGTAAATCAGATCAATTTAATCAATTAAATCAACATTATATTACCAAAGGAGTTGATGATGTTAATTGTTTCTGGATTTCACCCAATCAATTGTTCATGATTGCCACAACCACTGATCATCATAAGGCAATCATTTATCAAGCATATTTAACTGGTTTTACTAATTAACTTTTACCCTTTAATCAAACCATTTAACTTTCCCTCTCTCTCTCTCTTAATCACAATTAACTTTAATTCTTGAAATTAACTTTATTCAGTTATTTTCATTTTCATTTTTTAATTATCATTGTTATTTATTATTACCAAGCAAAGTTATTAACTTAATTACAAATTTAACCATAATTATATAAAAAAGTTTAATTTCTTAATAATTGATTAATAAAATTGAATCTTTAATTTAATTTAAATTTAATTCGTCATTTTTTTTTGATGAATTAAAAAGGTGAGGAAGATTAGATTGCAAGATACACTCTTAATTATTTAGTTAATTAAGGCAACTATGGACAATCAATATTAATTTGTTTCTATACATGATGAATATTAGATTTGTTTATACAATTAAAATCAAATTGAACTAAAAACTACACACAATTTGAATTAAATCAAAGAGCAATTAACAAAATTTACTTAAATTGCAAGAAAGAGATTCAAAGTTTGTGCTTGATTTTTGTTTCCTCTCAATATAACAATTAATTATTTCTCAATTACAGTTAATCACAATTGACGATTAACCTTTACAATCAATCCAAGTATGAATATGAATTGTAATTAAATCAATCTCATCGTAATTGATTAATTGTCGACCATATGATCTGAGCAAGTTGAACATTAATCTGGTTATGAAGAAACAATTTCTTTCTCTGATTGAGTTAATTGTTTGATTTAATTATCGATGGAAATTGAATTTCTTTTTTCTTCAAATATATTCATCTAAATTGGTGATTGATGATGAAAAGATGATGATATGAATTGATTAATATTCCTTCCTGGGTGTGGCTCTGATGGGCATCGGTATTTTGGATGAATTAAACTTTTGATGTGAGCAATTTATCACAGAATCATTTGATTTACCATCACAATCAACTTCAGAATTAATTGATTCTGAACTATTAACAATTTTACAAGGCGTTGCACGTTCAACACGCGACTGATATTGATTAACAAGAGTTTCCATTGTTTTCATGATATCATTTTCTAGATTAATTAATTGATCATCATCATCTTGATCATCATGATTATTAACATTTTCTTTAGTATTATTATTATCATTGATATCTTTTAATTCACTGAAATGGTTGTTATTTGCATCACCAACTAGGGAAGACGATTTGACTTGACAATTATTTAATTGGTTGATTAATTTAACGGCGGGTCTATTGGTCACACCATTGGTCATTTTGGCCGTTGTTGTGTGGAGAGGAACTCGACTAGGTGAGGAATCACTACTTCTGGACCTTTGACCAGGGGTTTTCGTTGTTATCGGTGTGGTTGTGGTCGGACGATGACCATAACGAAAAGATGATCGACTAGAATCACTTGGCTTCGTAAACAGATCGGGATCAAGAGCGGGTCTGGTTCGAGATTTGAAAGCCCAGGTTCGTATGGTTTCCCCACTTTCGGTTGAATTTTGTCGGCTCAATTTTCCTGTGGCTGAAGATCCATAACCAAATCTATCTGATCGACATGAGCCCAAGGAAAGAGATTCTGGTAAACTACCACGAGGAGTGTTCAATGAATAACGACCTGGAGAACCGCGGACAAAAGGTGATGTACCAATCGGAGTGTTTCCATGAATAGTTTTATTATTATCTGTTAATGGAGTTCGAGAAGATTGGGAAGTTGATCGACTTCTGGGTAAAGAGGCATAATAGTTGCGACCTCGTTCAAAACACGAAATCGGTGTCTGATTGGGCGTCTCAGTACCAACTCGTTTTGGACTTGAAATCTTTCGAGCGGGAGAAGCAGATATTGAATTAACAGCTCGAGCTCGAGTATTGATCGGGTTTTTCCAGTTCATCTTTCCTCCACCATTGGAATTTGAGTCAATCTGAGATAAATTCTCACTACTTCGAGACTTGTTCTTGTATTGATCGTCCGAACCATTTGAAAATCCCTTTCCATTAAAACCATTACTTCCCGCTGTGGAGATTTTTTGTTCTGAGCGTCGATAACGACAATTCCGTTGGAAAGGTGATGAAGACACATTAACGGAGGCCATTCGATCAATCCTAGAGTCACGGCCTTCAGGTTTAACGAAAGAATCCTTATTATCAATGGTAAAATCGTCCGAGGCCCAAGAAGGTTTTTCCGTTCCAAGAAGATCAGAAGTTTTCATGATCTTTCGTGGTGAACATCTTCTTCTACTGCCACCTATTATTTGGAAAATAAAATAGTCCCAAATTAGAAATTGGATCGATCGACAATTAGAGGAAAAGAAACAATTAAAAGTGAAAGAGAAAACGTAGAATCGAAAAAAAAACAAAGTCGAAACTGGATAAGAATCAAAAACTTCGAGAAAAAGTCAAAAAATATTCGATTGAAATAACAATATGATCACAATATGAAAACGAAATTAACAACTTCCATAAATCTCTCTGATTTCCTTGAACTCATTTTCTCGATAACGATTTAATTACAATTCTAATTCACAATTAGTGTTCCAATTTTCCTTTTCATCTTCAAACTTAAAAGAAGAATCAAAAAAATCTTATTTTTATCTAAAATTTTCTTCCTTTTTTTGAGATAAATTATTCAATTCTAATCAACAATCAACACACACACAATTTAATATACTAATGACCTTCACCGCCGACTTAATTGTAATCCCACATCGATATCATTTGATTTAATTGGCAGTGTAAATGTAGTATCACAACAACGTAATCAAACCGAGGTCACAATTAGATTTTCGTTTGATTAACAATTTGCGATGAAACAGAAACAAAAATCTCAAATTAAATTGTAATTACAATTAATATCTACTCATAAAAATTTCCACTTTTAATCGATAATCAAAACAATTAAAAGAAACCTAATCAACCTACCTAATAAATTTTTACCACAATTATGATTATTTTCAGATTCAGAAAATTCTGACGATGAAGAATCATGATAATTTCCTCTTGTTTGTTTGTTAATTGTTGTCATTGGTTTGATTGTTTTATTATTCATTTTAGATGAATTTTCATTGATTAATTTAGTTGATGATTTGTTGGTTGATTCCTGATGTTGATCAACACAATCGTCTAATTGTGATTCTAATTGTTGAGTAGGTGAAGGACTTTCCATTATTACACTCGAACCATCAGTTGAATCATCTGAATAATGGGAAGTTCGTGATTCCTGCCGGTCAATTAAAAGCCCGTCAGGATAACCTGTGGACGATGTTGATGATGAAGATGATAAAGTTGATGATGTTGATATTGATGATGGGAATCTTGGTGTAATCTCATTGGTATTAACTGGATTAGTGATTGAATCTCGTCGAGCTAATCTGTTACCATTACCATTACCATTGCTATTGATAAATTTATTAGTGTTAACATTTGGAGTGGTAACAATTGATTGACCATTAAGATAATCCGATGTAACCGAGCCATTGGCACGTCTTTTTAAATTGTGATTAGGTGATTGATTGATTGTCACACTTGCTCGGTTGATTAGATTACTGTTATTAATACTGTTATTAACTTGACCCATTGGAGTTGAAATCGGATCTTCCGGTCTAAAGGGAAAACAAAATATTAATTATTATCTATATGGATTAAGAGGATTAAGGGGATTGAGATTATCTTACCGATTATAAGTTACAACCATTTGAGGTCCAGATGATGGATCCCCGATGTCGGTGAAAGTGACCTTTGCGGAGGTTGAGAAACGATGACCTGAAAGTTACATTTAAATACAAGAATTAATATTAATAAATTGTGTTGGTAATTAACAACAACAAGTGATAATTTATCAAGATAATTAAGTGACATTCTGATAAGTAATATCTTCCCAGTGATTTATTAATTGACTTAGCTACCTTAATCTGTCCTCGATTAGATTAAATTTTAATTACTCTCATTAGTTGATCAATATCATTTATGATTAATTCCTGATAGTTAACCTAAATATTTTCCCTTCTAATTTTCAACGTTAGTTAATCATTAAAATTAAATTCTAAATTCGTGAGAAATTAAATCGTCACTAAAATGAATCAAGTACCTGCTCGACATCGACAAGGATCATGACGATCTAAATAATGGCCTAAAGTGTCCCAACCACCACCGACTCGAACCATAACATGATTACGAAGAATCTGAAATAAACAATCAACAATTAGTTACTATTAATGGAAGAAGCAAATTTAATTGTAATCAAAATGGTCCAATTTCTTACCCGAACAAAGATTAGAACTTTAGTATCACCAATTCGATACTTTCCATCGGCCACTTTGACCATCGGAAAAGCGGATGGACACGAACATCGACTTAAAATATCAACAACCTGAGAACGAGACAGTTAATCACAATTAGAAAATCGAAAACTTAGTAACAATAATCAGAATTTTCGATAAACAATTTAATCTCGTTGATTTCTTTCCAATCAATTCTAAACTTTCCCCTTCTCGACAATCAACCAAACAATCAGTTAATCGAATCACAATTAACTTTACTTAGAATATTTTATATGTATAAAAACAGAAGAAAAAAGTTTTCTCATTTGATTTTCTCACCCAAATTGTGGTGATTAAAATTAATGATCATCAGTTAATCATAACAATAGAGCTGGTCAGTGATTGATTATGTTTACAATCATTAATAGTGACCGTTGATTGTATCAGTTACAATTTATTCTCGGTGGTTAATGATAACAATCAAGATTAATGATTGTTTGTGACAATTAAATCATGAGACCAAAAATCCTAGACTTTTAATTGTCTGTCAACAATTCAAGTCTCAAGGCTGATCATTGGGTGGAACCTTAATCATGATATGATAATTATAGTAAAAAAAATCATTCCTATGAATGAAATTAAAATGAAAATTGTATCCAATTAGTTGATTAAATTATTAATACATTTAGATTGTTACAACAAGCATAATAACCTACACAATTAAGACTTGACTAAGGCCTCATAATTAAGGGCCACTTGATGAGAGGCAGATAATCAGGTAAACAATAATTAAGATTAAATTAGCTTATTGCCAAATAATAACCAAAACTTTCATCTTCAAGGCAACAATTAGAAATGAATATTAATCACAATCAATTAATTAAACTTTCACTTTAATGGTTATTTAACTCAGGAAACTGTGGGTTTGATTGTAATCGATATCAATTAATCATCAATGGAAATGATTACACAGAAAATCAAACCTAATCAACAAACGTAGTTTTCTTAATTGTTACGTTAATTGTCAGTTGTTTGTGAATATACTTTCCTCCAACTTCGTCTCAATCAAATTTACAATCACAATTAGTGAGGGAAAATCGCGATTAACACAATCAACTGATTCTTCCGGCCTGTTGATTAAATCTGTTAAGCATATTGAAATCACAACAACAATCAAGCTGAGAAATTGTTTATATCTTTAATTGTGATCAGAACTTTTTTTTCTTAATTGTGATAATCATAATAATGATCATCTCTCTCTCTTAATCCACAACTTTTCTTAATCGCAATCATCAATCATTAACAATTACAATTAAAGTGCACTTAGACTAATTAACTTATTTAACTAAATGACTGAAAATTTAACTAACAGAAAAAAAATTAAAGATTAAATAATTTGATAAAACAATCAAACCATTTGATTAGTTGATGATTAAAACTTTTCGGATTTTAATTATTAGTTGGATTAATAACTTTTTTTGTCAAAATTAAATCCAGCTACTTAATCAAATCCTCAACAATTTAAACGCGTGGTTGATTGTGTTTAATTTGAATCATGATAAATCATATTTTTCTGATTAGATTGAAAAAAATACAAACTGAATTAAAGTTAATCAAGTTCACTATCTGTTAATAAAATCTTAATCACGGGTTAACAATTTGCCCACACACAACAATTAAGCCTTAACAATCAACGTAAAAGTAAAGATGATTAACTAAATTACTAAACTTTCTTATCAAATCGAGACAATCAAATTAAAATCTTACATATAAAGAGTAACTTCAACAATTTGTCAATTTTGTTAACAATTAACTTTTCTCTAAGTTAATTAAGACCTTGATTATATTTTCTCAATCAATGTCTTGCTGTGTGTCTGTTGATGACAGTTGATTGTTACAATTAACCTGGAAATCAAACTACCAGAAATATACAGCACTCGAAACCAATTGTTCAATTTTTTCTAATCACAATTAACGAAGTACCAAACAAATTGAAAATTGAAAAAAATGATTAACTTAATAACCTGAAGCAATTTAATCAAATCAACAAGATGATTAATCTATTTGGACTATTAAAACAACAACCATCGTTATTTTAATTGTCTGATTAAGTAGTTGATTTAAAATTAGATCATTTTTTTGAAGAAAAAAAAATTCTCAATCATTGAAATAACTAATAAGCTCGTAAATTGTAACAATTTAATGATTAATCAACATTCCGAGTTGATTATAATAATAATAATCATCATCATGAAGTAAAAACAAAATTTAAATTAAATCATTTGAATAAATTGATACAATATAATAAACTATCAACAATCATCATTAATAATTTAAGTTAAATTGATAAATTGTTACATTTAATAAGTATAACTAAATTAAGATCAACAATTCAATCAACTTGTCATAACATTTAAATATAAAAACAAAAAGTAATACATTTATCAAATCAAAGTTGTCAACACAATTAACTTACAAATACTTGATTACTTAATATTAATGTAAACAATTTAATCGGAGAAACAATTAACTATTTTGTCTAGTTTCATCTTGAAGAATTGAAATTGTATTCAATCAATTTGCCCTGAGGCAAAATCTAAAGTGATGACCATTAAAATGATAAATCTGTCATCATCATGATAATCGTGACATTGAATCATGTCCAACGGGTTGATTAAAACCCACGGCGGGGTTTCAGTGTTTATATTTCCCTCTATCTCCCTGGGTAAAGTCCAACTGAGTTGATTGAATATTGGTCAGTTTGTATACTGACCACAAGTTGATTATCAATGAGATGAAATAAAACAAAGTTGAAAGTTTGAATTAATTGTCACCAATTCAACTTATCCACTTGGATTGATTGGTAACTGGACTAACCAATACTTAATATCATTGATATCAGGTCATTAATGGTTAATCGTAATTAACTTACAATTAAGTTGAAACTTGTGTCATCGTCATGATAAAGTAATCAACAGGATTTAAAGTAAAGGGTTGAGGCAATTTCATGATACTTTTTGAATGCCCTTAAGGGTTTCAATCAAATTCCTAATGATTGTAATAATTTTTCTGTGACCTTTTTAATACTAATCAGTTAAAATCAGTCTAATCTAATGATGAGTTAATTATTGACTAATGAGGTGACAATAATTATCGATATGATGACAATCATGATGGAAAAGAAGAAAAAATTTCCACCTTTAGAATTGGCAATTCAATCTTTCAGAAAGTGAAAGATTATCAAAGATCCAAATTCTCACTTGATTTTCTCAAGCTGATTCAGAAGCAAGAGGAGGAAGATAACATGACGATAAAGATGAGGAGGATAAGGATGATAATCTTAATCATGGAGAGAGAGAGAGGGAAAGACTTTAATCCATGTAAATGGTTGGACATACATAAAGTTACCTCGTAGTGAGAGCTGAAAGAGGAGGAAGAGGAAGTCATCTCATTATCACATGTTCATCAATCGTTATCTTCATCACCTTATATTACATAACATGAAGATGATAAAAATAAACAAACAATATAATGTGAGTAGGAAGATAAATCAATAATAAGGAACAGCAAAAATTGACCAATTTGATTAAAAGTAAATGTTTATTATACTTATCACTGGTCAGTATCATTAGAACTGATAAAGAAAAGACCTTTTTCCATGTGCAAAAAAGTGATGCGGCACAAAGATGCTATCAGAATGATGAATGATTCAGACAATTAGATTGTGATAATAAGAAATCAGGTCTTGGTGGATTAAGAGATATCAGATTGAAGAGCAAGGAAAAGGAGGAACCAGAAAATTTCAAGAGTGGGCAACTAAAGTGACCACAACAAACTCTCACCTTTAACTTAAACACCAACGAAAACAACATGTCAGCCATTTTCCTTTTATGATTATCAACAAAATGATATAAAAAAATCCTACGAAACAAATGATCACCATTAACATTTAGTAACAATTTAATATTGTTATTATTTTGGGTGATTAAAGGGCCTCTCTGATTGATATAACTAATCACCATCATCATCACCTAAATTGTGATTAGTGTTGGTTTTAAATTGTTGTTAATCATACCGAGTCTTTAACTGAGTTAAATTTAATCACGATGATAATATATCAAAGTTCATGTGAGTGTATGTTTACATTGGACACGAAAATCTTACTCTTACAAACTCCAATTAAACTTGAATTTAAACGACTAATTATTATGATTAATAAATTGTTAGACTAATTTTGAAAGTTAATTAGCCACAAATTGGCCAGAAAAAAAACAAAATTAAGATCCAGGGCAAATTAATACATAATCACAATTAGAGGTGTCAAGCTTTTAGGTTAATCATCATGGTAGTATTACAACATTTAACCTTTAATTGTTTACAATTTAAGGGTTTGTGTTGTATTAATATATTTAGTTAATTAGCATGTTTGAAAACTAGTTCATCATTTAAATTAATTATGTAAAGGGAAAAACAATTTAAGGGTTAATTTAATTGTTACCATAACTTTTATTTTAAGGTTTGGTCAAGCAATCAGATTGACTGACCAGTTGAATCAATTGCTGAATTTAAATTGTTAAATTTCATTTCCAATAATCAACAGTTAATAGTAAAAAATTTTAAAGGTTAATCATCTTAATCATTAAAGACAATAAATAATCATAATCAACGTTAGTGATTAATTGTAAATATACTTTGTAATTAGCAATCAAAAATGACGGATTAAAATCCTGTTTACAATTAAGGTAATGAAATAGTTTAAACGTGGGAAAATAAAGTAAAGTGATTTAGTTAATTGTTGACTATTAGTTAACAATTTGGTTGATGATTTGTTGAAAAAAAAGAAACAAATTCAAGTTAAAAAAAAGATCAATTTAAAAGGTTCAATTATATAAAAGGATTGATATTTAAAAGATGAGCAAAGTGATGAGGATAAAGATTCAGATGATAAAAAGGATGAGGATGAAAATATTTTATCAACAATTAGTAAATTGCTTAAGGGTTAAATTGCCTAGAAGGTTGATTGTGACGAGAATTAAAAATAACGGTAAAGTAAAATGAAAACATTGAATTTGTAACTGAGAAAAGCAAAATCATTACAATTAACTAATCA